TACATACATACATACATACATACATACATACATACATACATACATACATACATACATACATACATACATACATACATACATACATACATACATACATACATACATACATACATACATACATACATACATACATACATACATACATACATACATACATACATACATACATACATACATACATACATACATACATACATACATACATACATACATACATACATACATACATACATACATACATACATACATACATACATACATACATACATACATACATACATACATACATACATACATACATACATACATACATACATACATACATACATACATACATACATACATACATACATACATACATACATACATACATACATACATACATACATACATACATACATACATACATACATACATACATACATACATACATACATACATACATACATACATTACATACACATGTACATACATACATACATACATACATACATACATACATACATACATACATACATACATACATACATACATACATACATACATACATACATACATACATACATACATACATACATACATACATACATACATACATACATACATACATACATACATACATACATACATACATACATACATACATACATACATACATACATACATACATACATACATACATACATACATACATACATACATACATACATACATACATACATACATACATACATACATACATACATACATACATACATTACATACATACATTACATACATACATACATACATACATACATACATACATACATACATACATACATACATACATACATACATACATACATACATACATACATTACATACATACATACATACATACATACATACATACATACATACATACATACATACATACATACATACATACATACATACATACATACATACATACATACATACATTACATACATACATACATACATACATACATACATACATACATACATACATACATACATACATACATACATACATACATACATACATACATACATACATACATACATACATACATACATACATACATACATACATACATACATACATACATACATACATACATACATACATACATACATACATACATACATACATACATACATACATACATACATACATACATACATACATACATACATACATACATACATACATACATACATACATACATACATACATTACATACATACATACATACATACATACATACATACATACATACATACATACATACATACATACATACATACATACATACATACATACATACATACATACATACATACATACATACATACATACATACATACATACATACATACATACATACATACATACATACATACATACATACATACATACATACATACATACATACATACATACATACATACATACATACATACATACATACATACATACATACATACATACATACATACATACATACATACATACATACATACATACATACATACATACATACATACATACATACATACATACATACATACATACATACATACATACATACATACATACACATACATACATTACATACATACATACATATACATACATACATACATACATACATACATTACATACATTACGTTACATACATTACATTACATTACATTACATTACATTACATTACATTACATACATACATACATACATTACATTACATTACATACATACATACATACATACATACATACATACATACATACATACATACATACATACATACATACATACATACATACATACATACATACATACATACATACATACATACATACATACATACATACATACATACATACATACATACATACATACATACATACATACATACATACATACATACATACATACATACATACATACATACATACATACATACATACATACATACATACATACATTACATACATACATACATTACATACATTACATACATACATACATACATACATACATACATACATACATACATACATACATACATACATACATACATACATACATACATACATACATACATACATACATACATACATACATACATACATACATACATACATACATACATACATACATACATACATACATACATACATACATACATACATACATACATACATACATACATACATACATACATACATACATACATACATACATACATACATACATACATACATACATACATACATACATACATACATACATACATACATACATACATACATACATACATACATACATACATTACATTACATACATACATACATTACATACATACATACATACATACATACATACATACATACATACATACATACATACATACATACATACATACATACATACATACATACATACATACATACATACATACATACATACATACATACATACATACATACATACATTACATACATACATACATACATACATACATACATACATACATACATACATACATACATACATACATACATACATACATACATACATACATACATACATACATACATACATACATACATACATACATACATACATACATACATACATACATACATACATACATACATACATACATACATACATACATACATACATACATACATACATACATACATACATACATACATACATACATACATACATACATACATACATACATACATACATACATACATACATACATACATACATACATACATACATACATACATACATACATACATACATACATACATACATACATACATACATACATACATACATACATACATACATACATACATACATACATACATACATACATACATACATACATACATACATACATACATACATACATACATACATACATACATACATACATACATACATACATACATACATACATACATACATACATACATACATACATACATACATACATACATACATACATACATACATACATACATACATACATACATACATACATACATACATACATACATACATACATACATACATACATACATTACATACATACATACATACATACATACATACATACATACATACATACATACATACATACATACATACATACATACATACATACATACATACATACATACATACATACATACATACATACATACATACATACATACATACATACATACATACATACATACATACATACATACATACATACATACATACATACATACACATACATTACATACATACATACATACATACATACATACATACATACATACATACATACATACATACATACATACATACATACATACATACATACATACATACATACATACATACATACATACATACATACATACATACATACATACATACATACATACATACATACATACATACATACATACATACATACATACATACATACATACATACATACATACATACATACATACATACATACATACATACATACATACATACATACATACATACATACATACATACATACATACATACATACATACATACATACATACATACATACATACATACATACATACATACATACATACATACATACATACATACATACATACATACATACATACATACATACATTACATACATACATACATACATACATACATACATACATACATACATACATACATACATACATACATACATACATACATACATACATACATACATACATACATACATACATACATACATACATACATTACATACATACATACATACATACATACATACATACATACATACATACATACATACATACATTACATACATACATACATACATACATTACATTACATTACATTACATTACATTACATTACATTACATTACATTACATTACATTACATACATACATACATACATACATACATACATACATTACATACATACATACATACATACATACATACATACATACATACATACATACATACATACATACATACATACATACATACATACATACATACATTACATACATACATACATACATACATACATACATACATACATACATACATACATACATACATACATACATACATACATACATACATACATTACATTACATTACATTACATTACATTACATTACATTACATTACATTACATTACATTACATTACATTACATTACATTACATTACATTACATTACATTACATTACATTACATACATACATACATACATACATATGACAGACAAACATACATATAGTTCCATAACATTTCATTACATTACGGTTCATTGCATTGCGGCGCCTTGCATTACATTACATTACATTGCAATACATTACATTACATTCATACAGTACATTACATTACAGTACAGTACAATACAGTACAGTACAGTATCTTACATTACATTACATACATGCATACATACATACAAACATTACATACATTACAGCACAGTACAGTACAGCACAGTACATTACACTACATTACATTACATTACTACATACAAACAGACAGTCAGACAGAAAGACAGACAGACAGACAGACATTACATTACGTTACATTAAATTGCATTGCATTACATTACATTCACTACATTGCTTTATATTGCATGCATACATACATACATCTGTATCATCGCGGCTGAAATCTAAATGGGTACGTCCAAGGGCGTAGTTGAGTCTTTGGGCACTTATTCAACCCAGCGAGTCAACTTGGCCAACTGTCGGCCTCACCCTTCGACACCATCTCCCCGCCCGAGTCATGAACTGGGGCTCAAAGGGTCCCAAACAAAAATCCATGTAGCGACGAAAGGCTGAAAGCTTACTATTTGTGTTTAGGGCTGCCCGCTAAGCTGCACTGGTTTTGAGCGTGGCTCACGTTGGCTTTCGCAGCCTTGATGGGGTGGACGGGGTGGATGGTGTTGGCGGCGTCGGCGATGGGCTGGCCTTTGTTGAAGCTCTCGTGTGACTGAAAATGCAGTGGGCCCCTCCAGCCAGCACTACAAAAACTGGAGAACGGAAACCAGCAGGGAGACAATCTTGGTCCTCAACATGAGACTCAAAGCCTAACCAAGCCTGGGCTCCGTGCGGGGAGCCGGGGAGCTCCGGGTGCTGCAGGTCCAAGAGGGGCACGAGCCCCCGGCGTGCTCGGCGTGCTTGGCGCGCCCGGCGGCCGCACGCCAGCGGGGCCGAGCGGAGCGGGGCCGAGCGGAGCGGGGCCGAGCGGTGCGCCGCTGCGAGGAGCGCTTGGCGCCAAGGGTGCGCCAGGAGCTCCTGGTGCTCGAGGTGGACCAGGCGGTGCTCCTGGAGTGGGTGGCGTGATGCGGGGGCCGCCAGGTGCTGCTGGTGCAAGAGGCGCGCCAGGTACACGTGGAGCGCCGAGCGCAGATGGTGCCCCAGGCGCAAGGGGTGCCCCAGGTGCACGTGGAGCGCCAGGCGCACAAGGTGCCCCGGGCGCAAGGGGTGCCCCAGGTGCACGTGGAGCGCCGAGCGCAGAAGGTGCCCCGGGCGCAAGGGGTGCCCCAGGTGCACGTGGAGCGCCAGGCGCAGAAGGTGCCCCGGGCGCAAGGGGTGCCCCAGGTGCACGTGGAGCGCCGAGCGCAGAAGGTGCCCCGGGCGCAAGGGGTGCCCCAGGTGCACGTGGAGCGCCGAGCGCAGATGGCGCCCCGGGTGCAGCAGGCGCAAGGGGTGCCCCAGGTGCGCGTGGAGCGCCGGGCGCAGGTGGCGCACCAGGTGCTGCAGGTGCAAGTGGTGAAGGAGCGCCAGGGGTACGATAACCACCAGGCGCAGGTGGCGCACCGGGTGGGCCAGGGGCTGCAGGCCCCAGTGGTGAAGGGGCACGAGGACCACCAGGCGCAGCTGGCGCACCAGGTGCTGCAGGTGCAAGTGGTGCAGGAGCGCCAGGGGTACGATAACCACCAGGCGCAGGTGGCGCACCGAGTGCGCCAGGGGCTGCAGGCCCAAGTGGTGCAGGGGCACCAGGGGCACGAGGACCACCAGGCGCAGCTGGCACACCAGGTGCTGCAGGTGCAAGTGGTGCAGGAACGCCAGGGGCACGATAGCCACCAGGCGCAGGTGGCGCACCCGGTGCGCCAGGGGCTGCAGGCCCAAGTGGAGCAGGCGCAGCTGGCGCGCCCGGCGCTGCAGGCGCAAGCGGTGCACCAGGGATGCGAGGAGCCCCTAGCGCAGGGCTTGGTGCGGGAGCTGCTGGTGCTCCGGGCACTGGGCCGAGCGCAGGTGCAGATAATGGTGCAGCAGGCGGGAGCGCTGGTGCGGCAGGCACTGCTGGCAAGGTCTTCGCAGGCGCACCCGGCGCTGCTGGGGGGAAGCCACCTGCCAGAGCAGGCTCCCAATTGCGAGGCTTGCCTAGACACGCTTGACCACATTGCAAGCTTTAGCATGCCCGAAAGGGAGCCCCCAAGCAAGACCAGCATCTAAGTGCCATGAGTCTCTTCCAGGTGTCCTTGCCAACTTGCCTAGGATTGGTGGCTTGGGCTTTGCAGAGGGCAGCCTTTGTCTCAACCCTACGGCAAAGCAGGTCGGAAGCCCCAACCCTCCTGCCTGGCGCCGCTGGCGCCGGTGCCGGCCTCGGCGGTGTTTTTTGGGCGCTCAGCCGGCAAAACAATCAGAAGGCACACTTTTGTTGGTAGTTGCCCAGTTGATAAGGGGGAAACCCCGCTAGTCAAAAAGCGGGCACCACTGGAGCTTCGGGAAGTAGCCAAGGGTTTCTAGAGGTCCACTGGAATGCCCGAGCCATGGTCATGCCTCTTGCGCTACATGGTTGGGTCTGGGGTGCCGGCTGGTGCACCGCGGGCCTCACGTGGGGTCAAAAGTAGGCATTGCGTTTCCCAGACCCCCCCCCCCTGAAATACTCCCTCTGGGGGGTGGGGAAAACCCGCTTCAGCGTCGAACTGCTCAGCGTCGCACATCCAAAGTCAGGTGCGGTCACAGGTTTCGGCGATTTGAGAAGTGGGGCAGACAGGCCAAGGCGGACCTCTTGCAAACGGCCCTCCTTTTGCTCCAAGGGGTCTCAGAAAAACTGGCCCAAGCTTCGAACAACGTGGCCAAACGTATCCCCAATGGATGGGAGTTTTGAACGGAGAGCTGTGTCAAGCAACTCTGGCCTGGCTGGTGCTCCAGGAAAATCCATGGCATAAGTTCACCGTCAGGCGAAACTTAGGATCACGAGAAACAGCTCCACAAGGGCAGAAGCAACTAGATCATTGAACAATTCTGATCAGGTACAGAAGTGTCTTCACCTTTTGTCAACAGTCGACTGCAACCTCTATCCAAACTGTATGCCAAACTTGCACACTTCCTTTTTATGGGGCCTTGTCTCGTGGACGGACGCACCCAAATAGGTGGTTTCCCTTCGACTTCCTTGTCTCGAATATGTCTCAAGCTCGGAAAGGGGCCCAGAAATGGAGCTCCGCGTAATCCTGTTGGTTTCCTTTCCAAAAAACTACCAGCTGAGAAGGGCACCGTTCGCCTCAACCAAACAAAATCCTTGGTGTGTCCTTTCGGAGCCTGCCCGTTTTTGGGGCAGAGAAACCACCCAGCAGCGCCTGCCGGGGGGTGTGTCGAGGCCCGGGCGTCGCGGGGGGCGGCGCCGGCAGCGGCGCCGTCAGCAGCGCCGGGGCTTTAGGCCTGGGATGTCTGAGACTGGCAGCCAAAAAAGAGGCCTGGACCTGGTTATCTCACCACCAAAAGGATCCGAAAGTCCTGGATGGTTTTTCGGTTTTTTGTTTTTTTAACCACGGATAGGGTCCGTCCGAAGATTGCGAAGGTCCATGACCGGAAGTGAGTTGCTGCGGATGCACCGAATCCGGCCGCACCACTTTGAAACCATGGTTGAAACCATTGTTGGTTGGTATTTACAGGGGAATGAATCACCGCTCCAAGGGTTTCTTAGGTGCAGGACTTCGTCCGGCCAAGTGGCAAACAAACATCCCGCGATTTATGCAAGGGAATCTCTGGTTCATTCCAAAACCCTTTACATTCCCCTGAGACCCAGCAAGCAAAAGAGGGGGGCGGTCCAAACCTGGCTCGCCCTTCCATCCCAAGAAAGGGATGGTCAAGCTTCGAAGGCCCTTCGAACCATCCCCTGGCTTGGAGGAAAAGAGGCTCAAGCGTGGTTTCGCTTCGAAACCACATCCAACAAGCCACCATTTGGCTTCCAAACGAAAGGCTGGCCTGCCCAAGCCTTGGCAGCCGAAAAACTTGGTCGTTTGCTTGCGGCCTGGTTTGTCACCCACGAATAAACAGATAAAGAACAAGAACCAAACTAAAACAAGAAACAGTTAAGTGGGCTTGTCTCAAAAATAGGACCCTCCCCCCAAAAAAACAAAAGACGAAGAAGACGCGTGTTCCCTTCATACCTGTCCCTTTAAGCAAACCAATTTTCCGGGCACCCTCCAAAAAACCCACAGGCCCAAGCGGTCCCCCCCCCCCCTGTCCCCCCCTCCCATTCCGCCCTCGGCTTCAAATTGCCGCCGGAGCCGCGGGTCTGGGGCCACCCGGAGCTCCGGCATGGTGGCGTGCAAGGGGTTCGGCCGCTGCCGCGCTGGCGCAAAGGAATGGGATGCCCCAGCTTGGGAGTTGGAGCTCAGTTGGAGCATTTAAGCATGTTTTCAGATATTCATCTATCTATGGACACATTATTTCCCCACCCCACCAGTGGATCACGCCGAGTATCCCGCCAGAGCAGCTCGCCAGTTGATCTCGCCAAGTATCCCCTGAGAGCTGCTCGCCACGCCCAGTATCCCTCGCGAGTGGATCCCGCCCAGTATCCTGCCAGAGCGGCTCGCAGTGGATCCCGCCGAGTGTCCCGCCAGAGCTGCTCGCCAGTGGATCTCGCCGAGTATCCCGCCAGAGCGGCTTCCCGCTGAGTATCCCAGAGTAGCTTGCACCAGTGGATTGCGCCAAGTATCCCGCTGAGCATGAGCCGGAGCGGCTCGCCAGCATTCGCCAGTGGATCCCGCCAGTATCCCGCCAGAGCAGCTCGCCAGTCTCCTGCCCGGCACACAGTTGTTACGTTTCGTGTTGGTGCCTTCGTGTTTTGAGTGTACCCTGAGGCTCGGAAAGGGTGATGCTTTTGTGTTGCTTTGGGCTGTGAATAAGCAACTTTGTTTAATCCCCCGTCGGGTTTCTTTTTGCAAGGGGCTCGGCTTTTGTTAACCCAAGCGATGTTTGAGTTCTCGAGATCGGCTCGCAGACAAGTGGAGTTTGACACACAGACAGGTGGATAAGGCTCTCAATGCAAAGCTTGTTGAGCAGTCATAGGCCCCAAGCCACTCGAAAACCAAGCTTGAATTCACACAACCGTGTTCGCGGTCGTAAGCTCGTGAGTGTGGAGGGTCTCGAAGCGAAGTAATTGTCTATTCATTTATTTGTTTATTCATTTTTATTTAGTTATTCATTTCTTCGTTGATTTACTTATTTATCTATTTATTTAATATGTTTTTTCAATATGGAGATGTCTGGGAGTCTTGGATCATTTCACACACCATGGGCTCGTGAATGTCAAAGGACCCAAGCTTTGCTGGACATCATGTACGTATGGGTTGCCTACCACTTTTGAGCGGTTCCCCATTCAAGTTCATAGCGAAATCAAAAATGCCCAGCCAAGAACTCAAGAACTCTGGCACCAGGACAACAAACACTGACCTTTCTGATTAGTGCAAACTACACCTTGTGATGCCCATACTTTTTTCACTCTTATAGGGGGAGTTCATGCTGTCGAAAGCCGAAAACCAGTTGGGATAAACCACCTGCAGGATTTCTGCATGCTCCGTGCGCTCGCCCCAGCCTTGCGCGGAGCGGTCCAGCAAGGAGTCCAGAGAGGCTCGGTCCTGGGCCGGCGCATCGCCGTCGAAGTGCGCGCAACACAACTGTTGTCCTTGAGAGATCAACCAAATATGGCCGTGGCTCAAAAAACCGGTACCAAAATGGAACCCTGGTAAGTGGAAACATGGACCAAAACCTGCGTAACCCCTCCTGTTTAATTTTGAGCCACAGCCAATATGGACTTGTGGTTCCAAACCCGGGCCAATGACCTTGATGAAACCAGATAGAACATGCCTAGATCAAGATGAGAAGCGTTCGGTTCGTTCGGTTCGTTCTGTTGGGTTTTGGTGATAGCAAGCCACACCATGCTAGCCTTTCAAGCACGCTGATTTTACTTGGCACTGCCTGTCAAGCACTGATCTACCAAAATGGAGTCCCCAAGGTGTCAACTGATTTACAAATGCTGGCACAAATGTGATACAGCCAGCTTGGATGTGTTCATCAACTCGAGGGGTTCTTTCAATTTCAATCAAATGAGAACCAAGCGTAGAGCAGACAGACACACACACACACACACACACACACACCCATGGCATTAATTCGCAGCCATGCTATGCCAAACATGTCACGCAAAATAAGGGTCAAGTCAACCAACTTGATGAGCGTCTGGTTGGCAACCAAAACTCTGAACTCTCCATGCGGGGTGTCAACAAACAATCAGGGGACCAAGTGCTGGCTTTCCTTTCGATTCTTTGAACAAGGGAAAGGGTACGCTCAAAACCAAACACACACACACACACCTGCACTGTACTCTCTGTGAGAGCTGTGAGCATCTGTTACTTTCTGGTCAGGACCAAGGTTCACCACACATGAAGCTGCAAGACCGCCTCTGGCGCGCGCGTCTTTCAGCCACCCGTCCCCTGCCAAAGGGGCCCCGGCGCTCTGCGGTGAAAGGAGCAGGCCGCGCCTTGGCAGCCGAGCGCCCACGCGGCGTGGTTCAACGCGACAGAGTTGGGGGCAGTCCATGCGCCGTGGTGGAAGACTAGTCTTCTCATACCAAAGTGACCATCTTCACTGCAAAGTAACCATTAATTTGGGGGGGGGGGGTGGTATCACAGAAAGTGGCCCTACCCCCCCAAGAAAAACACACACACACACAATGGTTCAACTTGCCCCGTGATCAGACACATCCAATCGCCACACGCTTTTGACAGCAAATGCTGGTGATCAGCTTGAACACGCTTGCGAGGTCAGCCTGAAAATGCTGACATATAATGTTGACCCCGGATCAATATGGCGGTGTTCCCCTCCCAAAGTGATGAATCCAAACTAGTTTATTCATCCCGGGTCAACATTCTGGGGTTGTCGTTCTTGAGGTTTGAAGGGAAAGGACAACAGTCATTTTGGGGGCCCATATCCACTATCTTAAGAATCCCAAGGCCGTACCCCGGACTTCTTCACAATGAGAGCTTGAGGATTGATACGCCAGTGATGATGCGGCGGTTGAGGCACGAAACATCAAGTTGCCCTATGCTTCGACATCATTTCTCCATTGCAGCAGAAGCTGCCAAAGTGCAATTGGGCTCGTGACCCTGGACTCATACCCCAGTTGTCGACCCTGTCAAAATGAACGAGGGGGTGAACAACTCGGGCGAGCATCTTCACAGAACCGGGAGACCACAATTCAATAATTCGACATTCAAGCATGTTCTGCCCTCATTGAATGGCATGCCATTGAAGTGTGCAACCCACTACTATGCTTCCCTGACTTTCAACCCCAAAGCTGCCAGATCCTTTTTCTCTTCGCACAATCTGCAGCTGCAGCTTCCCTCTCCTCCCACACTTTGTCACTTCCGACCCTCCCGTTTCGGGCGCATCCTCGTTTTTCTGGGACACACCTCCCGCGCGCTGCTTCTTGTCCTCGTTCGGGGTGGAGATTTTCGGGGAGACACCGCTCGTCGTCAGCCCAGGGAGCTGAGGCGCCCCTCCAGCCACGCCACGTCCCTCAACAGTCCCGACAGCTCCTCCTCGGAGACCTCGATTTTTGGGGGGCCAGGATGGCCGGACCCTGGTATCTCTCAGACAAAACAAAGCAAGTTCGAACAATGGGTGCTCACATAATAATAAAGACGGGTGAGCGAAACCAAGGAGACGCCTGCTCCAAACCTGGGCTCAAAGATTGGGGGTTGATTCATACTGGGGTCAGAAATGGGTTCGCTTATTCAGTTGGGTTTCCCCAAAGAATTGGTACCAATGTTGGTCGTCCCAACTTCATCTTCAAGGGCGTTGCCCTCAACTCCCGTGAAGTTCACCGGAAAACCGGTGGCGTGGGCAAATGCCTCGCCAAGGGGGGGGAGCAAATGCTCCGTGCCATTCCTGGCACCGAGTGCATCGAAGCATCCGGCAGAAGCCATGCGAAGCAACCCTGGTCAATCCATGCTGAGCAAATCGCAAAAGCCGGTAATCAGCAAAACACGTTGGCAGCAGCGGAAACAAAAGAGGAACGCGTCAGACATCGGCAAGTGCTGAAGTGATCATCAAGACAAAAGCACGTGAAAAACATTAACTGTTCACTCTACCAACATGGTACAGTTTTATCTAGGCCTTACTATGAAAACATGAAGCCAGGTAGAACCACAGGGTTGTGGGCGCTGCACAAGGAAGGAAAAATCCTCTGGGTTGCCTCATGAAGTTCTGAAGAAGCCTCTGCGCCGTATGCGCGGTTGGGCATCCGTGTTAAAGGCTCAAGCGGAGTTTCTTGGAGACAAGCCCGTTTGCACAGGCCGGACCAATCCCCTCCCAGTGCTTCCAGTTCATGTAAACCCCAAAGGTAAAAACACTGAAGCTAATTATGGTAACTGGAAGCACTGAGCCTCGTTTCAACATACTTCAAACCGCTAAGCAACCTCCTTTTGCGTATCCCTTCAAAGAGCAGAAACCTTTGTTTAAACCCCGTTCATCCCACTTCCCAATAATTCGGACCCTTAAAACACCGAGAGGAAACTAGCTGGTGGCACTTGTTCGGCTTGCCTACCATTTCGCATCTGGTAACCAGTCCCTGCCTCAAGCTCCGCGAAGCTCTCGGCGATCTGGCGCATCACCTGCAGCAGCGCCTGGCGTCGTTTCGGCGTCTCGAGCCGTTTGGAGTCGCCGAGAATTGGGCGCCCCTCGGGTTAAGGGCGGAGAAAATCGAAAAACAAACTGTCCACACTTTAATGAATTCACATTTGATGTCCAACACACGAACCGCTCCGCCCTGAAAAGAAAGAGCTCTGATGTCTCTTTGGCACCCCCACCTCTGAATTTCGTCTTCCCCTCATTTCCTTTTGGGTGTGTCAAATGGGCACGGTTTACCCCCCCCCCCCCCCGCTCGTGGAAACATGGACTGGCCTGGTACCTTGGCACCGCGCCAGGAAAGCCGGGGGCGAAGGACAAAGCCAGCAGCACCTGCCACCCGCGAGAGGTGGTGCGGGTTCAGGTCGGAACATCGGGAGCGCTGCTTGTGTATGTACGCTGCAGCTTTTCTGCCCGAGGAATTGCAGATTTCAACAGCCTTTGGTTGACTTACAGAGCTTGGTTTGGATCGGTGGTCGGACCAGCATCACCAGGAGCACCATCGGCAGCGCCTTTGCCTAGAATTGTACTGCAATATTTAGGGCCTGCCCCACATCATTTGCCTAGCATTATTCGGCGCCTGCCTCGAAATTTGGGACTGCCGCCCTGCCACCCTCTCATTATTGCCAACCCCCCAGTCCCCTCGTGCCGGCCACCCCCTCAGTATTGTTGAAATAATGGACTGCCCCCCCCCAATTTATTTGGTCATTTGCCTCAGCAATGCTATTTGCTGTCCATCATTGCTTCAGGGTGCAATTTCTTCTGACATTAAAACACTTTTTGACATTAGGGACATTCTGACATTGCGTTGACATGGACCTTTTTTTTCTGTGTGGCAGTGGCCGGCGAATGGGTGAGCTTGACATTTGCCTATGTAAGTGGGCGGGCCTGAAATGTCTGGGTATTGTGACCCCTGACCGGTTTGGGCGGGCACCTAGACAAGGCATGGGGTCCAAAAAAGCTCAAAATTGGACAAATGCCTAGACGCAAAAGGTCTAGGTCAAAAAAAAAACGGGAGGTGGTTGAAAACCTCTTGAAGCCGTTGTGACCATGGTGGCTTCGGCCATGGCTTCTGGAAGCTTTGCCAGGTGAAGGGCAAGCAGGGAAGAAAATCACCATTCAGCTCGAATGGTTTAGTAGGGGGGAAAAAAGGAAGTGGCTGAAACTCTGGGTTTGTCTCAAAGAAACCGGACCTCCAACAATGGTGAGTTTCCTTTTGGTTTCCCTGCAAAAGCACCCGAAAAAAGAAGGAAGAAGAAAAGGGGGCATCCTGAAAACAACTCTAATCATCCTGCACAAAATAGAGCACGACAAAGACCTCCTCAAGCATATCCCCAAGAAGATGCGTGAAACAAAACACAGACACAGACACACACCCGCGACATGCGGCTTCGACGCGGCTCGCTCTACGCCCCAGGGCTCCGCGCCTTCCGCAAACACACCGGGCACAGGAAGCCTCGGGCACGCGGGCGCGCGGGCACGCGGGCGCACGCGCAGGACTCGGAAGCTTCCGTTTGGGTGTTCCGTTGCCGGGACAAATGAAAAAATATGCCCAGTGGTGAGAGAGTCCCGTTAAAAAACAGGGGAAACAACGCTGGGAAGCAACAACACAAATCCAGTAGTGACGGATTCCCGTTAAAACCAAGAAGGGAAAAATGACAAAACATGTTTAAAATGGAAGTAAGGCTCATGCTGTGAAGACACCAGTTGGTTGATGTGTTCAGTTTGGGGTGCATCCCAACTGCGAATCAAACTTTGTCCAGCATGGGTTTGTGACACATCTGCGCCCCAAACACTGCTCTGGCGTCCTTTTGGGCTTCCCCAAAAACGACGCAAACTCTTGTGGCTATGAGATCTTACTCGCAAGCGCGTCGATTGGACAAATTTACGCCAAAAGATGTGTACGTCCACGAGCCAAACGGGGGGTCCGACTCGCAACTTTTTGCAACTCCCCAGCTCCAGAGGCCCAGCGCACACTCAAAACCGATCAGTGCTACAAGGTGTCCACCCAACACCATGGTAACAAATCAAAGCGGGCCAAAATGCCCTTCATCTAAATCAGGTGTTGATTGTAACTCGCATAGAATTTCCATCGGGCCAGTGTGCTGTCTGGCATGGCACCCGTAGACGACAAGTTGTTGGAGCAGGGGCCGTGGACTACCAAGAACGGCGTCATCTCCCACACCCATGCGTCAAACATGCTTCAAGGTGCGCATGGGAAACAGTTCCTTTCCCCAAATCAAGACTATGCTGTGAAGACGTCTCGGACTAGAAATATGTTTCCACCCCGCTCAAGCAGAGCCCTCGCATGTCCTCCTATGACTCCTGGACGCAGTGGCCACAGCCCGCCTCCGCAAGTTGGGACGTTTTGGCTTTCGGCCCCCATAAAGAACCACCCTGCTCAGTTGCCCACGGGACCCAGAAAAAAAGCTTAGCCTTTGGGAGCCACTACAATTGGGAGCGGAAAGTAACACTTTTGAGGGTAAGACCCGGTCGACTCGCTGTTGCCAAGGGTTTGCCTTTTGATTTGGTCCCGCCAACCCCCACCCCCCCCCCCCCCCCGCCCGCCCTGCCCCCTGCTCCCCCCCGACCCCTTCCCCGCTCAGAAACTCCTCGCCTCCCCCACTTTTTGGTTCCGAAGGGGCTATGGCGGCCCGCGGAGTCCCCAGGCCCGTTGTTGCCGTTCATGAGGCATTGGAAGTAGACGCAGTGCAGAATCCCGAACCTCGGAACCCCTCAATCCACTCCTTCGGACGAGCTATGGACTTGTGGGTGCGCCCTTCAGGGGACACAAGCTATCATCTATGAAGCTCTGAAGGTCTAGCACCTATGAACCCACCTATGAACCCGCTACAATGTTTCCCAAGGCCCTCTCGAGATTTCGCTTCAAGACCCCCAAAAAGCTCCCGATGTTTGCCCTATGTTTTGGAAAACAAAGACAACCAGAGCCCCAAGTGAGTTATGCTGAAACTGGAGGGAAATATGTCTGCGAGTTTTGATCGACCCATTCTTGGTGGACATCAGAATTCGGTTGGGAGTCATGTCCACCAACCATTTGTGAGGTGCCCCCCCTCAAAATTCATTTCCATCTAGGGACTGTCAGATTTTTCACCTGCTTCCTATCTGGGCCGAAGCTGGACACCTGCGCGCCTTCTTGTTGGTGTCCCTCTCAAGGTGGTTTTTTGGTTGATACAAACTCTGCAACCTGGCGGTGTATTGCCTGCTGTGCGCAATCTTCCTGCAACTCCAGAATTTAACCCCCCCTGCCTGCCTGTCCCTGAAAATGAGCCTCAAAACCTCCATGCGAGCTGCAATGACAACCAAACAGGGACAGTGTCGTGAAGCCTCCCCCAAGCCCGACCATCAGACCCAGCTTTTGCGCCAGTCCTAAAGTAGACCACGCGTTGGCCTCGCACAAAAGCTTTCAACATTGGCAGCGTCCCTTTTGCTTGCCCTTCAAAACCACCCAAACAATGCTACCGATGCTACCTGTCCCAGGTTCTCTGGAAACAAAACCCCAGAATCTATGAACCACAACTTGTTGCCATCCATTGAAGTCACAGCCTTGCGCGCCCTTCTGAAAGAATCCATGGCACCGGTGAAACGATTCGAACAAACAGAAAACCCGTGGAACCCACCGACTTAATGCTTTTCCAGCCGGAATGGACATCTATGGGCCTTCCAAAAACCCTCCGCACCCCACGAAAAACCAAAACCGCGAACCGATCCCCCGGCGGGTTTTTGAGGCGCTCCGCATGTGGCAGGTCTCGTGGACCATGGTGTGCATACCTGAAGCTCACGAAGGGATTCCGGACAGTGCGCTCTGAAGACCCATGGAAATGTGGCTCAAAGAATTTCTTTATGCGGTTATTTGGAGCCATGGAAATTTGGATCCATGTCATTTCTGTATTCGGGTGTTCGGTTTGGCGCAATGCCCCTTTGTTTCTTTATGGCGAGGTCGCGCTGGCAACGCAAGCGTCCACATGGCGCACGGTCCGCACGGTTGACTTCCAAGATGACTCCGAGCACCAAGCAGGCCAATTGAATGGACACGCCAGAGTGCAGGAATTGGTCCATGGCTACTGCAGGGGTCAATACTGCTCTCTGATGCCATTGTGGGCATGCTCATTCTGCAAACTGTACACCAATTCCAAAACCTAAAGAAAGAATTGGTTCCCCAAAAAGGGATCAATGGCGTTTGCTGCCGGATCAGTGGAATAAAAGTTGGCCGACGGTTCCACTGTTGGTACTGACGGCTGTGCATCCGAATGTCCAAATCAATTGAGCACACCTTGGTCAATCGATAAACACGTTGTGGCTATGAAGTTCAATTGGGGGCCCTTTGGTGGACATCATTTAAGTGGGGGTTTATGTCCATCACTTTTAAAGCAAAAAATATGTTTAAACAAAATCTCACTGCCTGGTCTGCCAAGTCACTTGCTCGTAGCCACCCAGCGCCCTCCTTGAGAGATGGCACCTCGGAAAAGACGGGTGGTTCCACTGGTAAATCATGCTAACCAAAACGAAACCAGTGGAACCCAGACCTATTCTCAACCAAGCTGACCTCAAGAGGACTCCTTCCCGAAAACCGTTTTGGGGCCGATAAATCCAAGTTGACCCTGTCGAGTCGGTATCGTTCGGGTGAGTCAGAATAACTTCCATGATAAGGGTTCGTTCCGTGGCGCACATGATGTATCGGTTCTGTCCCGTTTCTTGTTCGCACGGATGCCAGCTCTGGGAGCCCTGGCAAGTCTCCAAGGAGGCCATTCATGCGACACCCTCAGAATTGAGCTCTCCACTGATAGTTGACATGTGGCTTTGTCTTTGCTTGAGGGTACCCTTTTCAGGGACCACACCCATGTCCCTCCTGGACCCCACTAGCCGCCGCTTGCCCCTGCGCCTGGGAAGCATGAAGCCCACTGTAGAAGTAGGGCGAGTGCCGCGCGAAGGAGAAGACCCCCACGCGCCTTTGGCGTTGCCAAGTCTCGTTTTAGGGAACCCCGACATGGTGGTTTTCCTTGACCTTGAAAAAGAAGCACCCAGTTGGGATATGGCTGTGGGTCAAGAATAGCGTAATCCCAAAATGGCACCCTGGTAAATGGAAGCAATGACTCAAACCTGTGGTCCCTGGTGCCATATGGGTGTCTTGGGTGTATTTTGTGGAGAATCCTTTAGGTGTCCCTGTAGAACCACGCCCAAAGCGACACCCTGTCTTTTTTGGAGAGCCCCGACATGGTGGTTCTCCCTCAGGTTTCCCTGTAAAACCACCCCCAAGAGGGGTACCCTTGAAAAAGAAGCACCCAGTTGGGCCATGGTCGACAACTGGGGTGAGATTGCGGATAATAGACAACCATGGGAAGGGTTCCTTTAAAGCGACAAAAGGAATATGGCGCACAGAACGACTTTTGACGTGACACACGCGAGTCTTCCTATGTAGAACGGGACGAGGTGGAAAGCCCCAAATGGCCTAGCAGCGCCAGTTGTATGGATCATCAGTTGCGACCGCAATTTGGGAACGGGGTTGGACCATCAGCTGATTTCTGGGATACTCAGATCTTGGCCAGATATACACTGAATGCAAGACACGCGCCATTTGCAACTCACTCGCATGTTTGGTCCAGTGCTTACATCTACAGCCAACGTGAAAGCGCCTTCAACAGAAACAGCAGAACCAGGTTAATGCCCCAAGAATTGTTGGGATTTCTCGAAATGGCGGACCCCGCTTGGGTGGCTTTGAAGGGAAGCCGAAAGGAAACGACTCATGGGGTCTTCCCTTATTTTGAGAAACACCCAAAATCACTTGGATATCATGTGCCGTGGTCAACCTGTTCATAGGGATCGCGTATCCCCGTGAAAAAATGAACTATTGACTTGGTGTCTGCGTCTACCTTGGGCTGTACAACCACAAATGGAGCCCCGTCCAATCACTCCATAGCTCCCCCAAACAGCCGGGGAAAAAAAGAACAGGTGGGTATCTGCAAAAAGAAGAATGGCAGCCCCCAAAAGAATGTTCCCAACAAATCCAAAAAAAAGCAGCCTGAAAGCAAAACAACAACAACGTGGCAAACCAAGGCGCCACAAGGAAAAAACAAACTTAAAACAGAAGAATGGCAGCTTTCCTTTCGATTTCCCTTTAAAGCCAACCCAAGCAAATCAAGCCCACCATACCATGCAAGGTGCTCCAGAGGCTTGGCCTGCCCGAAGACGTAATTCCACTCCTCTCCGGGGTAGATGTCTTCCTCAGAACTGAAAGAAAACCACGTGGATTCGGCTTACACAAGAAAATCCCCATAACAATCAGTGTCAAAACACCTCTTCCGTAGCTGTGGACGCTCGCCATGTTGGCTGGGGCAAGTGGAATTCCAACACCCAAAGTGGGGTTTACCTTTCTCCCAAATAGGGGGACTCCCTAGAGACCCGGGCGCAAGATAGTAAGGCAAACCCCACCGGATCAGGCTCTCTCTACCATGGGAGTCCCATATTCACGTTTGCAAAAAAAAAAAACTTCCCCCTGGAAGGGTTTGTGAAACATCATGACGAATGTGTCACCAAGTAGATTCCAACTCGGAAAAGGGAAACTTGACCACAAAGGAAATCACCCATGAAAGAAAGGTTTGCCACAACCACCCAGGCTGCGGGAGGAATTCGAGATACCCTTTTCTGTATGTTTGCTTGAGAGCAAACCGTGCACAAACCAAGGAGAAGCGAAGGGAAACCAGCCACTTGGACGCGCACACAAACAGACCTAACAAACAAACAAACAAACAAACAAACAAACAAACAAACAAACAAACAAACAAACAAACAAACAAACAAACAACAAAACAATCAAAAAACGCACAAATAAGCAAGCAGACATAAACAAAAAGCAAACATAAACACACAGACAAACATAGACAAACAAACAAACAAACAAACAAACAAACAAAAACAAGCAAACAAAAACTAAACAAACAAACAAACAAACAAACAAACAAATGTAAACAAACGTAAACAAACGATCGTAAACAAACAAACAAAGATGAACAAACAAACGTAAACAAACGTAAACAAACGTAAACAAACGTAAACAAACAAACAAACAAACAAACAAACAAACAAGCAAACAAAAACAACAAAGCACACACACACGTCCATCCACACAAACAAACATGAATTGATTTGTGCGCTCATGCATTCGCTTGTTCATTTTACGTCAGGTCGTCAAAATCATTTCATCGATTTCATTACACTAGATCACGTCTCATTGATGGCAGTACTTCACTTGATTTTCTCAGCGAGTCCGCAAAACGCCAGCCGCGTATGGCCGAGGTGCCATGGTAATGCCCAGGCGGCAGTAGGCCTTGCGATAGGACCGCGTCTGGGTGTTCAATGCCTCGAAAATGTCGCCGATGAGGAACTGGTCATGGCCGAAGTCGTTGCTCCTCTTCTGCATCTGCAGGAGCATGCGGAGCGTGCAGCCAACAGAAATGTGTGTGTGTGTGTGTGTGACTGACATGTGTGCGATGTGTGCGATGTGTGCGATGTGTGCGATGTGTGCGATGTGTGCGATGTGTGCGATGTGTGCGATGTGTGCGATGTGTGCGATGTGTGCGATGTGTGCGATGTGTGCGATGTGTGCGATGTGTGCGATGTGTGCGATGTGTGCAGTGTGTGCGATGTGTGTGCCATGTGTGCGACGTGTGCGACGTGTGCGATGTGTGCCATGTGTGCGATGTGTGCGACGTGTGCGACGTGTGCGATGTGTGCGATGTGTGCGATGTGTGCAATGTGTGCGATGTGTGCAGACGCAGTGATGCCTCCGAGCAAAGGGGGCTGCGAAAACACAATACAGGGCATGTCCCAGCGTGCTGGCTTCAGCCAGATGCGGCGAAGACTTTTTCGTGATTGGCTTGCTGCTCACCAACTCCCACCCACCAACCCACATTGGGGAACCGTGCTGAAAGCGTGGCTTCCCTTCTCTCAGGAACCAAAGTTCATGAAGTCATCCTGTGCGAGAAAAAGTATTGCAGAGGTACTGGCGCCCAATGCTTGGCACTGCGTGGAACACCGAACATTATATGCTCCGATTCTGTGTGTCGTATATCTTTGTCAACCCTAAACATAACTAATATATTTAATGTAGTGTTGGAGGAGACCCCCCAGAAAGGCCATGGCATCTGCTTGAAACAAAAACTTGCCCTACCTTGTCAAGGCCTCACTGATTGGCTTTCTTTCCGGCTTCCCTTCAGATCTCTTCCAAAGCGCCGGGTCCAAGCCCAGCTTGGTGGTACACCACCCTCACCCCCAACCCCAACCTCACCCAAGCCCGCCTTGGCCAACGACAGCGGCTTCTCCACACACACCACCTCCATACCCACAAAAAAGGCCCGGCAGTACTCCACCAGATGTGGCAGGAAAACTTGCGCCACACCTGAGATGTGGAGTCCTTCCTTCGGGCGACCACTCCAATGTTCCATGAACATCTGGGTAAAAGTAGATGGCACATTTCCCCTACCAATTTAATCTAGTCATCCAATAATATCAAGGGAATCGTGCCATCTACTTTCTCCCTAGTGAATCCCATCCCTTTGTTCATGGGTGTGTCTCCAAATAAAGAAAGCCCATGGTCTCCCTTTGGTTTCCCTTAAATCCCTTTGGAGCTCGAAACGACCAGCCCATTCAATGGTCAGCCTGTCCAGGACCTGTCCATGGCCATTTGCAGCCGTCGGGCCCTCACCGAAGCTTTTGCCGAAAGGTACCAGCAGGACGGTGTCCGTGTGCTTGCCTCTGGAGAGCAGTCAACATGCAACCAGAGCTGAGTAAGTTTCTCACGCATGCCTCGCGCTGCTGAAAAAGCCCAAAAGCAGACGCGTCCAACAGGAAAAACGAAATGTTCCTGGCCACTTCCAGTTATCTATACGATGACTGTTGACGATGCCACATGTTGCTGCGAGCCCCGCAACTTGCAGGGATGGCGGAATTGAGCCGTTCAGTCTGCTTGATGTTGGAGGCATGCCATGGCCAACGAGGGCAGAAAAGAAGCTTCCTCTGTCAGGTGGGAAAGGTGCGACTTCCAATCCTTGGACCACCCGTGTTGAAGGAAGACAGGCAACTTTGAACATTTGACATGTGGATCGAGGGTGCAACCAATTGCACAGCCGCAAATCGGGCAACACGACGGTGTCCTCCTCACACAAGAGGGAAAACACCCAGGGAATGATGTGAGGCGTTTGCCACCCTGCCATATGTGGCCTACCCGGATTGGTTCCATCCAAGGGTTTGAAGCAACTAGCACATGGCCATGGGTCAAACCCCGTACCCCCAGTGAACATCCCAATCCCCACTAAAATAGACTAAAATGGGTGATGCACCTATCCCAAAATGGTACCATTGGTTTTGAACCATGGCCACATCTTTAAATGCAACCAAGAAGTCAAAGCCAAGTGACAACAAACCGTGCCTTGCCTGTCAGTAAACCGCGAAACGTGTCTAAGCTTCCACCCGGAACAAACTAAAAGGCATAGTATACATATGGAAACCTTCTGACATCAAAAAGAGGTGGTTTACCTTTGGGTTCCCTTTAAACTAACGAGTACCAAGAGAAAAAAAGAAGAGAAAAAGAAGGAAAACAAAAAAATAAGAAGAAAACACATGCACCCTTAGAAAAGCTCCCTTCTCTCCGTGCCCACCGCTTCCAGCTTTGGCGCTGGGGGTCAGGGGCGGCTTCATGCGCCGGCTGTAGGTGCTGTAGGTCTGTCCAGACTCCTGGCGGGAAATGACATGGCTGTGGTTGTCAAAACCAATGGGATCCCATTTGGGGTAGGTGAATTCACCACCCATTTTAGAACCTATTTTAGTAGGGATTGAGATGTTCACCGGGGGTACGGGATTTGGACCCATGGCCACATGGTTCCAGGACCCACTAAGTCGTGAGTCAAAATGTGCTGGTGCCAGTGACAGCGCGCTGATCAAACAACAAGACCTGGGACCCGCAGGGCGCCAAAAGGAGGTCTAAATGATTGGCTTAGACATGTGCGAAGGGGGACGCGACCTCGTGGCCGGAAATCCTTTCCGAACGTGTTGAGCCCATTTCGACTTCATCTGCCCTAAAAGGTCCAACCCGCCATTTTGCGAGGCTTGCCAAGGAACCGCTCGACTCAATGGCGCGTTGCCAGGCAGTCCCCAAAAAAAACAACGAATGCCGGGTTTCGGGTGTTAAGTATGTCTCAAACTGGGCACCTCCTGTTGCTATCAACACAAATCCTGGGCTTGTCTCAAGTTGGGTACCCCTTTCTGGCGGCTACCGCCGCTTGGCTTCGCGCTTCGGACGTCAGTCCTTCTTCTCCGCCAGCCAGTCGCCCTTTTTGGGGATCCCCAGTGGCCGGAAGAACTCGAGGTTCATTTCGCCTGGACATGCAACGGGCATTCAGTCGTACTGGGCTCCAAGCGTACCGGGTGCGCAAAAGACATGAAACAATATATGGGTTTGCGCCCGTGTCACCCATCGTTTTCTGGTACCAACATGGGTATAAGGGTTGTTCGCTTTACAAAAACGAACAAACACGCAATGAAGGCAGGTAGGTACCGAAGCACCTCCTAACACAATGACAGGGCTCCACAAAATGAATTCGACTGGGTGCCCATCATGTCAAACCTAGGAACGGAGCCCGGACCCGTGTTCCACCAAACTGACCTAGTTTAAAGACCTGTCTCTCGAGTGAGTGGGATCTTGGGGTGATCAACCATCTCTGGTTTGCTCGGGGGGTCTGGCTCCTTCCGGTGTATTCCCAAAACCCAAACGTTGGATCCCTATACCGGCAAAGATCCCTGGGAATGAGCCAACCCATGTTCAACCAAGCTGACCCAAACAAGACAAAGATGAGCTGATGAAAAAACTATTTTATGATTGATTCCCGTCTGGGTGTCTTTCTTTTTCCTTTTTCGAGGCTCAACATAGGTGGCCTTTTGGAAAAATAGCATCGAAACCAGTGGAACCCATCTATTTTTAACCAAACTGACCTACAAAGGACACCTACTGTGGATGGACGAATTGCTGCACCACCGAAGAAGCTGTCCATGATGGTTTCCCTGAAATGACACAGTATGTATGCTGGTTTTGTGGTTGAGCAAATGGAACGTGGGTCTCCATGAACAGTATGGCATTTAAAACAAAACCCCGCCCACAGTATGGTGTTCCAGTACGGTGTGTCATCTTTTTCAGGTACCCTTTTTCCAGGTTGGTTAGGACAAGCACAAGCGAAAGCGGTACCCTTTTTCAGGTTGGTGTCCACAAACAAACGCCAAAAACCGCCAGTTGCTGGGGGCTACCCCCCCACCAAGGGCGCCGAGCCACAGAGCGCCCGGGTCTGCGGCTCGGCGTCCTCCAGGCGCCCCAGAGCCGCCACGCACCTGGGTCTGCACCGCTTCCCGGAAACCCCTTGGCGGTGTGGCAGAAACCCCCTGGCGGGAGATTTTTTGCAGGGTGTAGGCCTTGGGGGAAACAAACATCTCAAACCTTGCTTACCCTCCAAGAGGGCTGGGAGAAAATGGGAGGAAAACGGAACTTTCGTTGCCCTCCAAGAGGGTTTGAAAAAAAGGAACCTTCCTTACTCTCCAACAGGGCCGGGAGACAGAGCTAGGAGACAAAAAAAAGAAGCTCTCTTACCCTCCAAGCACCAGTGAACAAAAATGTAAACCACACCTTAAAATAGATTGGCCAAAGACCAGGCTTTGGGGTCACAGCTGAACTGCGAGCTAGGGCCACGTCTGCTTTCAGCGATGAAGGCACTTGGCAAACTGACATGGAACAACAAAGTGAAGCCCAGAAGTAGACTCCTCAACATGCCAGGTGTTTGGGGTTCCACATGAATCTGGGTTCCGGCAACGTGGAACAGCATCTCAGGCCGCCTGGTCTCCAGATTTGCTTTGTCATCGGAAAAGGGAACCTTGAAGCTGCCAATGTGGATGTTCAGGAGCCGCGACGAGACTCCGGGATTTCGGCGCCTCCCTTTGCTTGAGATGTCAATAGATGTGACATGGGGTCCGATTCATAGCAAAGGGTCCTGTATCTTGGGGCCGGAAGTCCCAGTATGGGACCCACCCATCCATCCACCCACTATCCATCCAGCCATCCACCATCCATCGCGCACGGCTCGGTTTTTCTTAAAAGACTTTCCCTGGCACGCGAGGCCGGTGCGTGGAGCGTGAAAATAATGCTGGGAATGTGTCAACCCAGTTCGGGCCCGAATGAGTGCATCCCCAACCCCACATGGGAGCTGCAGCGCAGGCGCTCCTCGATGGACTTGAAAGTCCTGACATGTGAAACCCGCCTCTGCAAAGGATCCCCAAAAGTGTTAGCTTGCTTTTGGGAGACCCATTCAAAACCAACCCAAACAGGGTGCCCACAGAGAAAGCCACACCCAAATGCGAGCCGCCCCAAAAATTTCGCCGGTCTCATCTTCGTGCTTCGATCGCGCAGGTGTGGCCTATGAGAAGACAGCGTGCAGCAGCCCATCAAACAAGCGCAAACAACCAGATCGCCTTTCAAATGTCATCATTTGAGGCCTTAAGGCCTTAGTAGCGGTAGTGTCCTTATGTTGGGGAAACTTCGCCTTCCACACTCCCCTCCTCCCGCGCGCAGCTGCCTTCGCCATGGCCATGGCGGGCAAAGCGGCAAGGTGATCTTTGCACCCTGAAAGTTTTGCAGATCAACCTTTGATTCGACACGCGCTGCGCAACTAACTTGGTAGCACATAGCTTCTTGGATACTGGTTCATTAGCTTAAGTCCATGGGCTGAAATGTGGGGAGCCCATAAAGACTGAGATTCTGGCAACTCTGAGACAATCGGCTGAGATTGGGAACAATGAAGGGATTCTAAGAAGTTGGGTCCATATGGAAATCAGCCTTCTACTGGCAGAAAGCGCGATCCTCGGCTCACCATGCACTTCAGCCAAGCATCATGCCACCAACGCATCCGGGAGACATTCAACTGCTGCAGAAACTTCGGCTGTTTAATGGAGGGCGGTCCCCATCATTTGGACTCCTCAAATCGGCTGGTGTCGTTTTGTGCTAGCAGACACACTTTGCAAGCCAGCCCCTCAAATGCTCCGGATTGTCACTGATCCTCTCAGAGTCTCACAACTCTCTTTTGACTTTGTTGGTGTCCAAAACACGGATAGCAAAACGGTTGGTGGCCTTTCACCATCGAAAAAGGGGGTTGCCGATGATTGGATCTAACATACAATGTTCAAAGTCGCCAACAAGTCTCGCGCCAGTTTTGAGCCACCTAGCAGAAAGTCACTTCAGATTTAAGGCAAAGGTGATGTTTGTTGGGGAAAAAAGTGAAATATGGGTGTGTCCTTTTCAAGGGTGCACTTTTTGGGGTGGTTTTAAAGGGAAACAACGGTTTTTTTGGGGTACCCAGCCCTATTTTGAAACAAACACATTCGGCCATGAGCTCTAATTGGTGGATATATAAATATATATATATATATATGTATATATATATAGATATGTATCACTTACATTCAAAGCATGCAAATTTATATTCAATAACCGAACACGCGACCGCCAACCATGGTGATGGTCTGAAAGAACTCCAACCATTGGAATTCATTGTGGAAAAAAAGGCCCCCAGGTTAGCAAATGGCAAGCAAGCTTTAGAATGGGCCTCAGTCTCTGACAAGCTGATGTCAAATAGCCGTCTGCCACATATGTCATAAAGATCACCGGATGTCCCCTTCAAAAGCTGCTCTTTTTTCGCTGGCTCAACAGAACTGCCACCTTTGAGGGGTGAAACAAAGGAAAACGGACCCGAACCAGAAATCCAGCCAACATATGGGTGTCTCTTCTTGTAGTGTGCCCCCAAAATGCTGGTCTTCCTGTTGCTTCCCCCTTTTAAAACCACCACTTTGGAGGTTTGGAAGCAGTGTTTCCATGGGGGGGGGCTCCACTCGAGAAAGACACCCCCCCTATCCATCGCTCGCAAGCCGCTCGGCTCGACCTCGACCCCTCAGCGGCCCCCACATCGAGGCCGCGGGGGACGCGGCCTGGCCCCGGCGCAGCAAAGCCTCACGTCGATCAGATCTCGATCAGTTCGACGGCTCGGACGGCTGGGGGTGGTGTCTCGGACCAAAACCTGCAGCTTCCAGGTGATGTATCCCGTTCTTGTCAGGGCTGCCTCTATCCCAAGTGTGGGGGTTTTGCTCTCTTTTCCTTTTTGGTGTTTTAAAGGTCGATGCTTGGGGAGTTTTTTTGGAGACCGTGTTTGATGGGGAATACTGTCCATGGCGAGCAAGACTCGCCAGCTCTTTATTGCCAAAACGGTCGATGCTCAGTTTGGCTGATCTAAATTGACGGAAGCCGACTCGCCCCAGGAAAGTAGTTCAATTTGAGTCTGTCTTTTTTGAGGGTAACCCTTTCTGGTGGCATGAAAGGGAAAACCAAAAGGAAACTCACCAAAAAATAATGGGGGGGGGTCCCCTCAAAAAAGCTGAGCACAGCTTTAGTTGATAGACCACCGGCTTGTGCGAAGTGGACTTTGTCCATCGAGGAAACCTTGAAGGAACACCGATACGCCATAGGGATGGGCCGATTCCTATGAGAAGCACCCGCATGCGCTGCCGCGTCCGTCCTGCTTGCAATTTGGGGCCCCTTCTTAGACCTTGTCATGGGAAGCCAAAGTAGACCAAAGGTAATCCGGCGGCGTGCCATTTTTTCGTTGGGGGAAGTTCCTCCCATCAAAGTACGACCCCCAGTGAGGGCGCTTTTGGGGTATCCATCCACATTGCCATGGAACCCACCAAGGAAATAGTCCTGTTTAGAGGAAAATGTGATCGCAGCGGCTTTCCTTTTCAGCCACTCAGATCCTCCTCGTTGCGCTCGCGCGAAGCACAGCTGCAATGTTGCCGTAGTGAAGTGGAGGGCTTGGCTAACTGTCAGCCACATAGGTGTCCTTTTGGGGCAAAAAGATGGCCCTGGTAGATGATTGAACCACCAGGTAAACGAGGGCCATCTATTTTTACACCAAAACAACCAAAAAGGACACCTATGGTCAAGCACCGTGACCAATTCCCTGGTTTCCTGTTTTTTCCTGGTTGGTTCCCTTGCGCTGGCTGACTCACCACTTCCCTAGATTCCAAGAATCCATGACTCGACATCAGAAGGGGAGGCTCCGAATCCTTCCAGGAAGCAAAAAAGAAACTGACACCCGCCTATGAATCAGCTCCCTGTGCCCCTGGTCCATTTTTCAGGAGTGTTTAACGGTATCCTTACATTATACACCTGAACATTGCAACTTGTCAATGGTGGTTTCCAACTTTATTTCGGTGTTGAAAAAGCCACATGATGTCACATGTTTCAAATGGGCAAGCAAAATGGAGATCTTTTAAGGAGCCCTGTATAAGGAGCCCTGATACGGAGCCTTCTAAGGCTTGTCCCCTCTAAGCTGCCGCGCCATGAGCGGCTCCTTGCCGCTTTTGGGCGGCGGCAGGGACCGGGCCTGAGATCGACCGGAGCGAGCGGTGTCCGAAAACCCGCGGCTCGGGCGCCACTTGGTTTGTGGAGCCGCCAAGGCGTGGTTCACCCAGGGTGTCAGTTTTTGGGAACCGCATTCTTTGGTGTGGTTTCTGAAAGGAAGTGGAACTTGGTGACCCAAACGCCAAACATTGTCGGCTATGAGAGTTGGACCTTCGGAGCTTCCTTCCAGTTTGTTTGAAATGCCAAAAGAGGGCCGGTCCTTATTCCCGCACGAAAGGTCCCCTGCAAACTCCCACATCTAACCTGCCGGTGGACCAAAAAACAAAACATGGTTGTCAAAAATGAACCCCTTTTTAGGTGAAAAGGCCGATTCGCTTTGGGCGACAGGCATGTCCATTGGACCCTCCCTGACAGTTTTCAGCCTTTCGGAGCTGTGAACCCCGGCCCTCGCGGCTGGTGACGAAGAAGGCGACGCGGCGCCCAAACTCATCCCAGCCTCAGAGACTTTCCACCACCGTTCAACAAAAGGTGAATTATCAACTTTGGTCCAGGGTTTGGATTGAAATAGTAATGTAGTATCTGCATGTGTGACAATGTATATATATGTATGTATATATGAATGTGTATATATATATATAGAGATACGACTACACATATATATATATATATATATATATATTATAAATACGTGTGTATACAGTGTGTATATATGTGCAAAACATCATCCCACATTGTGTGTGTGTGTGTCTGTCTGTCTGTCTGTCTCTGTCTGTCTGTCTGTCTGTCTGTGTCTGTCTGTGCCTGTCTGTGTCTGTCTGTGTCTGTCTGTGCTGTCTGTGTGTGTGTCTGTGTCTGTCTGTGTCTGTCTGTGTCTGTGTCTGTCTGTGCCTGTCTGTGCCTGTCTGTGTCTGTCTGTGCCTGTCTGTGCTGTCTGTGTCTGTCTGTGTCTGTCTGTGTCTGTCTGCGTCTGTGTCTGCGTCTGTCTGCGTCTGTCTGTGTCTGTCTCTGTGTCTGCGTCTGCCTGTCTCTGTCTGCCTGTCTCTGTCTGCCTGTCTCTGTCTGTCTGTCTCTGTCTCTGTCTCTCTCTCTGTCGCTGTCTCTGTCTCTGTCTCTGTCTTTGTCTCTGCTCTGTCTCTGTCTCTGTCTCCGTCTCCGTCTGTCTCTGTCTGTCTGTCTGTCTGGCTGCCTGCCTGTCTGTCTGTCTGCGTGTCTATCTGCCTGTCAGTCAGTCTGTCTGTCTTCTTGTCTGTCTGTCTGTCTCTCTGTGTGTGTGTGTCTCTGTGTGTGTGTGTGTGTCTGTGTGTGCGCCTGCGTCCCAAATCACAATGGGGTGGTGGGAGACTTGAAAACTAAATCAAGCCATGCTCATAAAGCTAGCTCCCTACGCGCCTCGCCGACACTGAGCGGCCAACCGTGCCGAACATGTTCGGCATGGTCTGGATGGGCGAGGGCCTTGGAGCCCAGGTGATTCTCCAAAAAGGGGGAAGGATTCCCTCATTTCTTGGTACAAAAGCGAAAGCAACAAATCCATTCCCCCATTCTTTGGGAAACCCCCAAAAAAGTGAATCAGAGGCTATGTATCCTGGGTTCCCATCCATCGAACACTCAAACCTGTGATTTCTCGGTTCGCCCCCACATGGGTTCGTCAGCGCAACATGTACATCATCTGATACGAGAGATGGACGCATGGCACAACACACCAAACGCCGAAGGTGACCCGTCTGGCTGTGCCTCAAGCTGGGCACTGCCAGCGACCTGTTGGTGTGCCTACTGATTCAACATCCCGGGTCTTCTTTGGCCAGCCCACGAGAGTCGCATACTCACTGGCCAAGCAAATTGAGGTAGTGCCCAGATATTGACGCCACGAGAGGATCGGTCTTGACGCCGGGTTGTTGAGCTTCAGAGGAAACTGACGCGCGCGCCGCCCGCGCCGCCGCGCGCGCCGGGGATGGATGAGCTTTTCCGGGCAAAGACCCCAAAGCTGTCAGCTGTTAGGGAGCAACAACAAAAAAATGTTTCCATCGACACGCCCGGGATGGACAGAGTCTCACCGCCCATCGATCGACCCCGCGAGCGAGCGCCCGGCAGGGTTTGCGCGAAGGCTAGCGGACTTGGCTGCGTCACCTGCGGCTGAGTCAAGGGCCTTGCCTGGGCCATGTGGGCCATGCGTGCCAATCCTTG